CCCTCCTTATCTGTTTTAGTTTTGAGGTCACTGTTCTTCCTTCACCTTTGTGTGGCTTTTTAGATTTGTTAATGGAGATAGAGCAGGGCTAAGTGACTATTAAACTCTTTTCTATATACAGTAAGACCATTAACATGGACCTCACTAAATTTAGAATTTATGATAATGAGGGCAAGGCCTGGGTTAAAGTTTCCTTTCGTATTGTCTCAATAGGAATGCTTTGCTGAGCTAATAAATAGTATAAATACAGTTACAGGAAGGTGGGAGGACACTTTTCCTTTCAAGGCAGTCATTTCAAGCACTTTAGATAAAGGCTCACAAGAGAGGTAGTGGCAGAGAACACAAATGGTGCCACTTACTAGCTATGTGACCTTAGAAAATTTACTTTGCTTTTCTGAGCATCTTTTCCCTCATCTTAAAATGCAGTGAGTTATCTAATTTGTGGGATAGCTGCGTGAGGGTTAGATTTAATGTGTAAGAAGTGCCTGGTGAGTAGTAGGTACTTCATAAATGGCAGACTCTTATTACCTATCTGAAATAATTGATGGGCTAATTTCAAATACTTCTCATTTTTTCACTAAAGCAGAGTTCTCAGCACTTTAATTTTATTAACTTAATTTAAGACATTGCTTTAATATTACTATAATTGTTACTGCTGAAGGAAAACCCAGAAGTTTGGTGTGATGGTAAAAATTATGAACTAACTCAAGTTGGAAGCTGTTCTGTCACTCATTAACTCTGAGGGTGCAGGCATGTTACCTAATATTCTCAAGCTTTTGCTTTTTAATTAATAAAAATGGGATGATAATAGCTGTTTCAGGTCTTTTATGAAAACTAAATGAGATAATACATGTAAAGTGTTCAGCCCAGTGATTTCCGTGTAGTAAACTCTCAAATGTGCTGGTACTCTTGCCATGATCTTTTTGACAATAGTCCTTACATAGACTTTCTGTTAATTCACACTTGTCTTCACTTCACCCAATTAATAAATTTTACTCCAGACATGATCTGCATTCTAAATGAAACTTTTAAGTACATAAGTAAAAACTTAGAAGAAAAAAAAAATTGGCAATATAGACTAGGGTGAAAGAGGAAAGAATAATATTTTAAAATTGGAAGCACTGAGGGGCCTCCCTGGTGGGGCAAGGGGTTAAGATGCAAACTATGAAGCTTTCTGCAGCCTCTGTAGCTTGAGTTCCATTCCTGGCTGGCCAGGGAGTAACCACATGGCACAGTAGACCTCTCCTGACTCGCCTACTGTTCCCCTCAGCAGTGTATTTCGGTCAGTCTGCCTGTTCTGTTCCCCACTCTGTCTCTGGTGAATCCTCTCACCCCCCACATCTCTGGCCTGTGTCCCAGCTCTTGTATGCATAAATAAATAAATCTTTAAAAAAATTGGAAGCACCGGCCTCAAGTTAAATTACTCAGTAGTGAATTTTGTGCATGATCTTTGCATTCTCTATGAAAGATCTTTATATTAGGCAGAGCTAAATGTTCACATGTATATATAGTAGAAATATGTAAATATATATGTTGTTGAAAGTAACCAGTTCATACCATTCACTGGAGAGAAAAGCAAGAAACCCATGTTCAACTTCTCATCAGAATCCTTGTTTCCCCTTATGTTTCATGGACTGTTTGGGTGAGAAATGTAAGTGCCATAATGTCCTGCATAGAGACTATAATCTACCCTCCTCTTAATGACAGACTTACACAGCTTGTCAGAATCCATCACCTCAACAGATCAGACTGAATTACTTTGGTGACTGGCAAATGGGTGCCACTTGTGTTGAAATGAAAGCAGCCCAGGTGTTTGTGTTTATTAAGTGCTCTTCAATAGGCGAAATATGTTTTCTGAAAACTCTTATCCATGCTATTTTTGTAGAAGCAAGAAATGCCCATCTTCCTTTGGGAAAACACAAGAATATTTTTTCTCGAGATTCTGAACTATTACAATGCAAATTCACAACCATAAATGTGCTATAAATATCAGTTTTGTTTTGTTTTTCTGCATCATATGCCTGCACAGTGGAACCTTGTAATAACAATGAGAGGGGACAGAACCAATACTATTGGGGCTATGTGCCTTTGACTTTCCAGAAACTCAACTTAAGCAGATTTTTAAAAGTAAGTCCACTACATTAAGTTGATAACCAATGGCTTCACATGTAAGAATTTTCGTATAATTGAATTCATAAGTCTGAGAAGAAAAGACTTTTTATTAATTAGTTTATTTTTTATTTGTGGTAGCATTAGGATTCTCTCCATCAGGCATCATCACCATAGGATACCTGCCACCAAATCACCTGAATCCCATCACCGTAGTCCATTGTGCTTCTTTCGCTCTTGGCTCTTACCCCTCCCTCCCCAGCCACCATGCTTCTATTCTTTAGTCAGTTTTCAAGGGATAGCTTTTAAGTTTGTTGTTTCCTAATTCTCTGTTTGGTTTCTGTATATTTCTTTCATTAGTGATACCATCTGGTATTTATCTTTCTCCTTCTGACTTAGAGCACTTAGCATTATCTCTTCCAACTCCATCCATAGTGCTTCAAATGACACAAGTTTATATTTTTGATTGCTAAATAGTATTCCATTGTGTGTGCTACATATGTACACACATACATACATACACATATACATACCATATTTTCATAATCCATTCATATGTTTTTGGGCATTTTGGCTGTTGTAAACAGTGCTGCAATGAACATGGGAATGCAGGTTTCCTTTTGAATTAGTGATTTTGTGTTCTCTGGATAAATACCAAGGAATGGAATTGCTGGGCCATATGGCAGATCCATTTGAAATCCAAGAATAAGCTTTTTTATTAGATTATGTTTTCTAAGATTTGGGTTGGAAAATGTGATCACTGTAATGCTCACTATGTTGATTAGTTGTATTATTTTAATCTTTATTGGAAGTATCTAATAATTAGTTGTTAAGGTATGGCATTATTTGTCTAGATTTGGCATACCAACAGGAACAGCAATTATAACTAATTTTTTGAATGCTTATTATATGCAGACAGTGTGCTAGAAGCTGGGACTATAATAGGAAGCAAAACCCAAAATAGATATGGTCCCATGTTGCTAGTCATGATGTTAATAACAATTCTATGAAGTAGTACAGAGAAACACATTTGTAGAGCTTCAATAATTTGTCCAAGGTTAGATATATAGTAAATGGCAGAGCTGGAATTATAGTGCCATATCTGTTATAGCAGCTAACCTAGATCCTGGTTAAGAGACTACAAAATATAGTGATTTAAACAAGATAGAAGGAACTTCCTGGAGCTGTCATATCAGCTTGAGATTGTTTATGCTTAAATTGTTGGGTAAGGAAGTAAATAGCTGTTTTATTACTCTTCTTCCCCTATCTTATTACTCTTCTTTTTAACTAATTCATATGTCTGAAGATACATACATAAGCTTTCTCCTTGAAATTCCCTTGAAATGTCACTCTTAACATATACTCCTATCCTAATAGCCATAGCTAGCTTTCAGGAAGGTCTGAAATATAGTCTTGTGGCCATGTACCTCTCAAAATTCAGGAATTTCTATTAATAAAGGAAAAAGGAGGAGAATGAATATTGGGGGGAAAATTGGCAGTCTTTGCATTTTATGGAATGAAGTAAGGATAGATTAAATGAAGTGAGGTTACATTAAGAAATGAGTGAATGAATGAATAAAAGATAGATATAAAACCGCAATAATGTTAGAATTTATCTAGGCTGTAAGAGGGACTTTCTCTAAATGCATCTCAACATAGGTTGCCAGGGAAGTAGGGAAGTAGAGATAGAGGGTTGGGAGTCTGTCTGGCTTCATATGATGATATTGGGAAGGGCTTACAAAAGGGGTTGGATTGGAGGAGGTTTGGGCAATTAAAATGTAGAAAGCAAGTGAGATTCACAGTTAGGAATAATGGTGTCATGGCAGAGGACAATCTGATCACAGTTGGACCCCAGCCAGCAACTTGGGTCCTGAACAGAATCTGGGAAAGACTGTATCAAGGTACTAGTCAAGTAGATTTAGATTCAGGACAAGGCACAGGGTACTGTGGGCAATAGGAAAACTATTTAGACAGAATCCGGTTCTGACGATTGAGCCACTATGTCTAGATTTAGTAGGGAAACAGGCAGAAATGATGATGAAGCAGTGTACAAAGAAGTCAGTGAAATTCAGGGCATGTGTGCCCATTAGAGAAATTTCAGTCTTGTTCCCTGGTGGGCTCAGGTTGCTTCTTTCTTGCCTGCCTGATGAATATGGGCTGAAGGTCACAACTGCATTGAGCCTCTTAAGTGGAGGCTTATGGAGCCCTAACTCAGGGATTTTGGAAGGAATGGCTGGATTGGAGGCCCACTGGAAGTTGCATCCCTGGGAAGGAGTGAGACTCATGCAGAGGAGACCCGGGCTTAATTAAGAGACTGTCATGTTCCAGGGTGAGGAGAACAGGGCCTGACAAGGAGGGTGGGGTCATTAGAAATTCAGAAGAAAAGGGCACTGCAAAAGACATTTCAAATTACGAAGTAACAGCCTTCAGTGACAAGTTTGATAGAATGGTTAGAGAAAGAAGAAACCAAAATGATTCCAGGTGGATGTTGATGTTGAATGCTCATCTGGTATGACATTTTAACTCATGAACTAAAGGGTGTTTTAAGCACACACCCAATCACTTTTAGTCTATTATTTAAAAACCTAAGTAAATAAAGTAAATTAGTAAATAAATTATGTAAAAGTGATGGTCACTGCATCTGCAACTCACTGCAGTGGGTCTGCAATGGGATATTTAAGAAAGAAAATGGCCCTCAAAGATGTGAATTAATAGAAATGTTTCTTGTAAAGAAGTCTGTCTTTCCTGGTCTAAGCTAGTGTTATTAATGTGTACATGCACTTGTGTGACTAAAGAACCTGTATCCTTCCATGCTGGTCTCTTGGGGCCGTTGCCACTGTAACTGATGTTTGTAGTGCTCAAGTGTGCCTATCTTTTACCTCCCTGATTAGTTCAGAGACATGGCTAAAGGTGTGCTCCTGCCCGGTCAGCTTGCTTCACAATGGGCTTCCTTTCTGCAGCTGCTGTTTCCCACTCATCCACTTTGGTGCTACACGGTGGGGTCCACGTATGGACTTTATTATTAATGAAGAGGTAAGTAGGACTCCAAACCTCAGGAAGGGCTATATTCCTGTTTATTAAGGCAAGGGAAGTAAACACAGAGCCCTTCACCTTGGTAGAGAAACTTTTAAAAACACACAGAGATGTGGTATTTATCATTTCATTAGGCTTGGATCTGTGTTTGGGAATGGCATGGATTTCAAAGTTGTTGCTGAAAATAAGGAAAGAAAACTTTAAAGATCACATTATTTACCATAAAAGATCCTGGTTGTATTTTTGAAATGTCGAGATAAATTATTTTTGTGTGGAAATTATTTACACAATAACCATTGAGATCAACCATTGAGTTTCGGGAATGTTGTTCTTAGAAAAACTTGGATTAATAATTGGTTTCCCAACCCAAATGTCCAAAAATAGATGACTGGATCAAGAAGATGTGGTACATATACACAATGAAATATTACTCAGCAATCAAAAAAAGATAAACACATGCAGTTTGCAGCAACATGGATGAAGCTAGAAGGGATCATGCTCAGCGAAATAAGTCAGAAAGAAGAGGAAAAATACCGCATGGTCTCACTCACAGCAGGAATTTAGAAAACCTAAATAAGGGACCAGGAAAAAGACTAATTAATACAAAGTAAAAATCAAAATCAACAAGCAACTATAAACCAGAGACACACTACGGGGTGGGGGAGGGGCGGGGAGCGGAAGGACTAGGGTCGAAATAAGGGGGGGTTGCAGTTGTATGGGGAATATAACCAAAATGAAAATGCATACATTGTGCAAAAATGAAAAATGACGTAAGAATTATATAAAATAAAATATTAAAAAATAATTGGTTTCCATTTTGTTCACAGATGTACTGCTTCTGCTGGGATAGATTGAATACATTCTGCTGGGATAGATTGAATACCTGCTTCAAATCGTCTTACATGTTTTCTTGGTGGAAAAACAATCATTGGAGAATCATCTTTTTAATGTCAACCAAAATGGAAACACATCGAGACATTTAGGGTGCCACAGTGCCCGGAAGTTAATGTTGCCAGTGTTTTACAAGCTTTGGCAAAAGAAGTTTCAAGACAGTGTGCCTCACTAGTGAGAAATCAAAAAAGAGTGAATTCCTTTTTGTCTCAGCTGCTCCTTAAATCAATCTAACTCCTACAAATTAATGTGAATCGAAACATGCATTGCCTTTTCAACTTAATTGAGTGCTTACTAAGTGTGAATCACTACACAAAATAGGGGAGGGAAAATGAGGGAGACAAATAAGATGTAATCCTTGCCTTTAATGAATTTACAAGTAGTTTCAGGGCACATTTTCCTTTTTGGTCTTCTGCTCTTAATTAAGTGTCTCGAAGACAGGAAATAAATGAATGGAAAAGGATATTTGTAAGTATTTTACTCCTTTTAATAAAAAACAAAACCAAAAAAATCTCCTAATGTGGGCAACTCAGGACATCTTAATTCCATTGTTTTTAGACTTTCTGTAAGTAGGATTCATTTTATGCATTTCATAAATATTCAGTAGATTTTAGAGATATTAATATATTATCATTTGAGTTAATTTGAATTAAATTTTAATTTTTCCCCTTAGGTATAGACTATCAAAAAATATGTTTATACATTTCTTGGTGAGTCTGGAGGTGAATTACATTGTTGTCATGATAGATCTCTAACTTCTGTACCCTCAAACTGCTATTCTGAGTGAAATATTAACATGGAGAAGGTGAAGACTTGAACCAAAGTTGGGGTTATTGCCCTTGGATCCAACATAGGGCAGGGAATGGCTCTGTACAAAAATGTGGCTGAGTAACTCTTTTAGTGTTCTTTGTGTTGTCCTTTATGTTCAATAATTTGACTGTACAGTTAAAAAATTTATTTCTGATTTGGGAATGTCATGATTTTTCCAGTGTTTCTGATGTTAATGATATGACCATGGACACCAGATACTTTATATAGTGTCTGTGACACATTTTAGTATGTATGAGCCAACAATCAACGTGTCTTTGTCTTGAGTAGTGTCCATCTGAATTGAAAATGTGCCAGTTTTTTTTTTTAACTTCATCAACAGACTTCTTAATTAAGCTGCCAATATATACTGTCAATAGCACTGTGTGCTGTTTGAGAAATGAGTTGTGTAAGTGTTGTTTCCCTCTTATTAAATAAACAGTGTTACTCCACTTAAATGGTTTTAAGTGTGTTTTTCCCCCCTCCCCCATGGGTATGATATTGCTCCATAAAGAATTTAAGGAGAATTTTCATATTATCTCCTTTAATTTCTAAAACCTTTTTGCCTTTCAATAAGGATTAACTCTAATTTGACCAATAACATGGTTTTATGATTTGTCCTTAATAGGAAGACTTTCCCCACCTCCAGACTCCTGGGAATGATATTGGATATTTGTTATGTCACTTTCAGTTTATATCTAGTAGCTTCCAAGAAATCTGAGTTACGAACTTCTATTGAACTAAATTGTAGATGCTTATTTTCTGCTTTGGGACATTTTGGAAAGGACCATCTCTGTATTCCTGGTGCCCAGCATGTGGTAGGTATATCTCCAGTAAGATATACCTTCATTAAGCATTTGTTATAAAGTTGCTTTCTTTCATCTATGATTCTTAAGTCTCCATGAAGGGCAGAGGGGTCTTGCAAACAGAATAAACTTTATTGGTTCATAGGTTATTATCAATATGTTTAGAATGACTATATAGCTCATGTATAGTCTAACCCACTGGGTCTTTTAATTGGCATCTTAGATTCACCAGTTTAGTCCTTATAATTTGTGCTAATATCCTCACTGCATCCCCGGCCCTTACCAAGTCTGCACAGGGGCAAGGCCTTGGAGGGGGTGCTCCATCTCTATGCTGGCTTGTCAATCAATAGAAGAGAAATTGCTGTATTCATTGGGAACTCACAATATGCCAGACACTGAGCTAAGTGCTTTACATGCATCCTCCCACCTAATTATCTCATTTAAACCTCACAACCAGCATCATTTGAAGTAATATTTTCCACTGCAGAGATATGTATCTTGCTTAACTCATGGGGATCTAAATCTAGAGTTCTTAGATTTCAAACCCTATAGTATTAACCCCTGCCCTCTGCTGCATCCCAGGAGAATTCCTAGTGCTGCTGCTGCTGGTGGTGGTGGTGGTGGTGGTGGTGGTGGTGGTGGTTGTGGTGGTGGTGGTGGCAGATCAAATCTGGATGTAGTCCAGATTCATTCCATTTAGTATTTCTGAGCAGCAAACTGTCTTACAGATAAAACCCAGCAAATCATGGTTGTTTTGAGAAGGGGGGAGGGCAGAGCAATTGGGAGAAAGCAAAGTTGGAAACAAACCAATTCAAGTCAAACCTTTAGCCTTTACCTCATAATGCTTTTTTTTTTAAACTTTCTTTTTTTAACATGGCCTGACACCATGTGATAAATCAAAGCCTGACGTAATTGACCCAGAATTGATCCCCAAATGTCTTTTGGGGGAACATGCTTTAACTCTGGTTGTTGATTCTGAAGAATAATTGCCACCCTAGAAAGGTAATTACATATGCCATTGTTTATACACATAATAGGCTCAGAACGCATGTTCTGCACAGAGGAAAGAGAATCCTGCTTGCACATTAGGGGTGTGCACTATGCATTGTGTCAGGGGCTGCAAATAGCACTTGAACTGCTCCCTTTTACTGCTGATTTCCCGGGACGTGTGCGCGCGCGCGCGCGATGTCTAAAGGAGAGGTGTAGAGAGGGGAGGGGTAGCCACAGAAGACTCTTGGTTGAACTGAAATGGCAATGATTTGCTTTTCCTTAATTTTTTGGTTAATAAAAAACACGTTCTGGATCTGATTCATTTCACTTAGTCTGGTAAAAAGATTGTTTTCTTCCTGTTTGGCATATGCTTATTGATGAGTTTTCAAATTTCTGTCCATCAAGTGCTATTTACATTGTGGAAATATAAAGTGAGAATCGTTCTCCGCAGCATCCTCCTAAATGCCCTGGTTTTGACCACCCCTTTAAGTATATCAAATCGTCAGCTAAATTTTAATGGTAGCTAGTGCCTTTCCCCTCACTGTGCTTTCTGGTAAAGCATAAATGGAATTTAAACCACAAATGACCGATTAGAACATTACAGGCCTTTTTCCTTTAACCATAGATAGTAGTTATCCTAAGTAAATACAACAAACAGGCTATTTTGTGGTCATCTAACCCTAGCAGTGTAATTTTTTTTAAATCAAAGTCTCAGAAAACAAAATGTCATGACTTTTTGTAGTGCTGCACAATGAAAGAAATACATATGTATTCCAATATGGAACTTGGCATTGTTTGAGGCCGAAGCAATTCATCCTGGGCTATTCTCTGCCACAGTGTCCAGCAAATTGCATGACCTGCTTGTTAGGCTTGACAACAGTGTTTTACCTAACAAAGGCCTCTGTAGCTCCAAGCAGCAATGGAATGTCAGAATGAGCACATTTCACACACAGATGTGCAGCCATAATAGCCTATAAGAAGATGCATGTGGCAGGGAGCAAGGGTTGGGGGCTGGGTGCTTGGAGCAGTGTGGCGTGTGAGTGTGCAGGGGGCAATCGGGGAGGGGGGAGACCAACAGTTAGCATTAGGGACATGGCCCTACTGACCACATTTAATCAGGCCTCTGTAAACAATTCACCATTTTCATTGTTCTCTAAAAACTAATAAAGAGAAACAAGCACTTTTCATTCATCTTGAAGTAATTTTCTGTCAGGTTGGAGCCCCTTGTGGCCTCCAGCTTGTGCAATGCTAGCTGTGTGATACAACAACTATTGCAATTTATTTTACAAACTCTGGTCATTCACATGTCAGTTAGTGTTCACCAAGCCGGCATCTGAAATTGTGCAGTTAACGAGTTTTACAACATTTCTATCAAGAGAAACTGTTTAGCATAACTGACTCTTAAGGAGTTATTATACCTCTAAAAATCCATTTTAAGGGGCATTATTTAAATAAAATAGAAAAACGGTTCACTGCCTTTTAAAGGGGCTACAAAAAAAGTCCATCAGCTCCAGTGCAGTAATCCTCAGCTTAAAGCACTCTTGAGAGCACTTCTGGGAATTGTCAGCATAATGAAATGTTTTGTGAAATGTCCAGATAGATTCCTCTACTCAACAATTTTACTGCACCATATTTATTTTCCTTCCAGTTTTTAAAGAAGTGAATTACTTTTTGAGAGGATGACTCTATGTTGTGTAGATTAACTGAGCACATTATTACCCAGGTTGTAGCAGGAGTGATGGTGCCGTTTGCAGTGTCGCCAACAAGCATCTGTAGACTGGGGCAAGGAACAGCAAGGCGACTTTTCTTTCTTTAGCTGGAGAAGGGTTAAACCACAGCGAGACTTACAGTGTTTTGCATTTTACTGGCGCCTCATTTTCCTCAGATTTTAAACAACTTTCGTGCACAATGGCACTGGCAACTACTTTCTTGAAACTTTACAGAATGGACTCTGTTTTCTTATCCTAAATAAATAAATGCAGGCAAACGCATACACATGCCCATATGCATAATGATGCATGTCATTTGAATTTGGCCATTTCGATAGGAGATGCTTTGAACATTTTACTTAAAGAAGAATAGATTCCTCACATAAAATGAGATGGCCAATGACCCCAAACCAATTAATGGCTAGAATCCATAATAGACCGCTAGATAGCAAAGCTGCAAGTTCACTTAGCATATTATATTATCTAACAGGAGGAGAAACTACCACTTGTAAAGTAAATGGCTTAATGGTTCCTTCTGTGAGGTGAAGACCAGAAGAAAAATTATCTTCTGCTGCTACGAGAGATAGTCCATACCTTAGGAGGTGTATCTATAATAGCACATTTTCATTTTGCCACAATCGGTCCCCTAATTTCTTAGGCTGATGTTTGTGCACAGGACTTTAATTTTCTGAGGGAGATAGGCAGGTGTTCTTGTGCCTGTTAGCTGTATCTTCCCACAAGAAGCGCAGTAACATCCATGAACCAAATACAATTTGACATAATTCATACCTTTATTACCTCCTGCAGAATGATATTATTTCATGCTGGCACATTAATGTTTCCAGTACGATACTGTCATTCCTGGAAATTTTACCTTCTGAAGTTCAGATGTTGAGGAATGAGTTTTAAAATCTCTAAGTGCCTGAGATTTGGGGAAAATGCAGCTTATTTTAAGGTCAGCTTCTTCTTTTTTTCCACGTCTTTTTGCTATTGGGTGGCACTGTTCAGATAATGGGCAGATGATGGGCAAAGATCATATCTGAAACGCTCACTTCTTTTCCAAAGACCTTGTTCCTGTTCTTTTGCAAATAATATTTGTCAACTTATCATGTTATATTTTGCTGCCGTCTGTACTCCTAGTAGTGTAAATTCAGATGTTGATCTCAAAATGTTTAAATGATTACAACCTGAATCCATTTGGTGTAGTACTTAAATCTGTCCTAATATTCCAAGTATTCAAAATTAGAGCAGATGGAGTGTGTAAGTTTCCCATTGCTGTCATAACAAATTACCACAAATTTAGTGACTTAAAATAACACAGGTTTGTTAACTTACAGTTCTGTAGGTCTGAGGTCTTTCTGAAGTCACTCGTAGAGAGAGCTGCATTCCATCTGGGGATCCTAAGGGAGCTTTATTTCCTTGCCTCTCCCAACTTCTAGAGGCCTCATGCCTTCCTTGGCTTGTGGCCTCTTCCTCCATCTTCTGAGTGGTCAGTGGAGAGTGAAATTCTTCTCACAAGGCATCTGTCTGACCCTTTTCCAATCATTTCATCTCCCTCTCTTTCTTACCACAGCCAGAAAATGTTTCCCACACTTAAGCATTCATCTGATCACATTGGCTCCACCAGGGTAAAATTACATCTGCAAACACTGTGTTTGCCATGCGAGATATTATAGGTTCTAAAGAACATGACTTGGACCACTTTTGGGGGAAGTATTATTCTGCCTATCACCGATAGCCTGGAGTCTCTGAGAGTTTCTTCTCACACCAATATTTAAAGGACAAATGGCATCCACCAGTCCAGGAGGCTTGAAACTTTTAAAATCATGTCTGAAAATTGAGAGTTTTGAGTTTGCACACTTATACAGTTCCTTTTATACTATACTGCTGTTATCTATACTAATAGTACAGATGCTCTTAGTAAAGCTTCCCTTGTCTTT